ACTAAGGTTAATCAAAGGGCTCTTAGAGCCAGCTCATTCATGTAATGACTATTTTGCACTGTGCTGTTTGATTATGAAATATTGGTACAGTTGAACCCCGTTAATTGGAACCCTCAAGGAAACAACAGTTTGAAATAGAAAATACCATATTCCTCATGGAGGATTGGAAATCCGACAGTCCCCTTTGTGGGGGAATAGGCATTATCTGGGAGCACACATTGTTGATCCATTCCCATGAACACCAAAACCTCACAAATCATTTTGAACTAATTGCCGTTGACAGAAACTTTGGGAAGATTAAAGGTCAGCCTTTGGCACTAGGAGCTCTGGGATGGATTGGGTAACCAATGTGAGCTATGATTGGTTGATAGTTGCCTTTGGAAACCATTGATCAATCATAGCTCACATTTTGTATCTGAACCATCCCAATAATGAAAAAATTCGAATTTTTTGAAAATAAGAAAAAACGGTGCTTACCATATCCCTTCTTTCGTGTGTCTATTCATACAGTGTTTATTTCAATCAAATTTTATTATAAACGTAACTTGAAACAGAACAAAGCAATTTTGGTTCGAGTTAGAGCGAGGCTGGAATTAGTGAGGGTTCGAGTTATCAGAGTCGACTGTAGCGTGTTTCTTTTGACACTAAATGGGAAATACATAGCGGTTTGTTAGCTGTAGCGAAATTTACAACGAGCAGTCCGAGCAAGCAGCCGCTGAATACAGAGAGCGCTGTCAGATTCGCGTTTGTTAGATACCAGAGGTATTTCCAAAGAGACCACGCATAATTTTGAAAGAGACATAACTATTTCGATTTTTGGTTTTAACCAAATAACAGTTGGATCACCCCGCAAGCAGAGCCTTTTCTTACGGTACATATGATAAAAGAGGCGTGCAATTGGATACGAAAATCTTGTGATTTGAAGTGGGACTGAACCGTAGCAGTGTTTTCCCCGCTTTGTTAGGCGTTAATTTGTAAACGGAAACATTTCCGTGTCAGTGAACAATTTTACGGTTAAAGAAACAACACGGCTCAGTTGAAAGCGAAAACCTGACTATTTTCCCGTTTTGACAGTGAAAAGGCTATCGCGAGTACCATTGCTTTATACATAAGTCTGCGTGCAGTGGATTAGAGGTTTTTTTTTTTAAATTACGACCAATTGCCTTGATTTTGTTTTCGGAGTGATTCCATTGACAGGTAGATGCCGTCTTCAACACGTTTCTTGTCAAGAAACATTAAATTATTTTTACCCCGCGGTTAGGTTTAAAACTAGACCCCCTCCTGACTTTTCGCTATTCACTAGCGCAAGGTCAGAAGGGGGCAGCTATTGCAGAACCTCATGAATCTCGTCGCGATATAAAACGAATCTCTGGCGCCTATCTTTCATCACATTCCAATGCAACAACTTTTATGGTGATGTCAGTGTTACTCCAGAGGAATAAAATAAGTGACCTCCGTCTCCAAGTAAGGAGAAGGGCTAGATTGGAAATGTCAAATGCCCAGGAAGACCGCTTTTAATTTCCTTAGTGTCCCACTGTTGTCTCTATATATTATTAGAAAACAAAAGTGATCAGATTTTCACGAGGAAAACTTTATATATTCCTTGATTTATCTAGGTCTCTTTTTAAAACCACAACATAGACAAAGAAGGCTGTTGTTTCTTGATACCCTCTAACTTCACCCCTACCCCTCCAACAGAACGTAAAATCATACTATCGTGGGGTATGCCCAGGGGGATGTTGATGTCTTTATATGATCAACTGACATGAGCTCAGAGCCACAGAATGCTTTCAGTGACACAGATAGAGGCCCGCAGTCTGAAAATGATTTTCGACTTAAATGTCCTGATTTTGTCGGTCGATTTGGTCGTAGGAATGCCGTTTTATGGGTCGGTTTTCTCAGAAATCATCCAGATAATTCTAGTACATGTTTCTGATCGCGGGCTTTC